GGGAGGCTCCCAGGCATCCAGGGCAGTGAGCGGTACCCGGAGGGGATGCCAGGCGTGGGGAGGGAGGAGGATGTCACGAGGAAGCAGCTGAAGATGCAGGCTCCAGGGAAACTGGAGCAGCTCCAGCATTCCCCAAGCACAGGCTTTTGGCAGGACCAGTAAACCCAGCAACCGGCAGGAACTGTGCAGGCAGAGAACTCCCCCAAAGAAAACCCACCGGGTCGTGGCAGCAGCCCTCGCGAGCACGCCAAAAGCTGCTGCGGCGGGGCGTTCAGAAGCGAAGCAGAAAGAAAACACGTACCTGAAGCACCAAACCAGAGCGTGCTGGGCTCTCCTGCCAGACCTGCATCCAGAGCAACCGTCTCCCTGCCGGGCATGGATTCAGCTGCGAGGCCGTGGCTGGGAATTGGCTTAGGGACCTGGCCAGGGCTGCCGCGCGTCTCGGCTCGCTGAGCTCCAGGTTAATCTTGGCCCAGCTTTCCCTTTTTATCCCCTGGTACAACCTCGATATATTTTTTCAATTAGGTCCATCTTTTAAGCTTCTGGAATGCATTTCTAGGAAGGGCTGCGTTGTTTGCTCTTAGCCCTCGTGGGCTGATGCTGCGCAGAGAGGGACATGCCTGGCACCGGTCCTGCCCGCATCCAGCTAAAGTGCTGCCGAGCTGCAGCCGGAGCGGCGCTGCCTGGAAGCACTCAAGGAGTTATTCCTGAGCCCCCAGCCCACCTACCGGGTATTTTTAAGAGCAGTATTCCCTGCTTTCCTCATCACAGGTTGCAAAGTGCCAAGAACACAGTCCTTTTATTGGAAACCCCCACCAGCAACCTGCCTCCGTCCTCTCCGAATCCGTGTCTGCTGCCTTTCGCAGGGCGACGGCTGAAAACCAAAGGAGAAGGTGCAGCTAGGGCGTACTTTTGGAGAAGGCTGGGTGAAAATGTGGTCTAAAAGAGACAGTAAAAAAAAAAAAAAAAAAAAAAATCGATAAAAGTCCTCAGCGGATACTACGGCACAGGGAAATCGCTGCCTGCTGCCGGAGGGCTGGTTGCAGGGTGATGGGTTAAGCAAAGGAGTTTGAGACGTTTAACGTGAGTTGGGAGTAATGGAGCCTGGGTGGGATGGGACGGAAGCAGCTTGCCCAGCCTGGTCTGCCTGATCTGCACCTAGGGCTCCTACCAGCAACGGTGGGCGACCCAGCTGCGCTCCAAGAGCTGAACTAAAACAAACTTGAAGTGCAGCTCACAAATGCACGCTGAGCACATTTCCCCTTGAGGCCATTTTCCAAGCTGCAGTCAACCACAAGTCCACCCTGCTAACAGCCTCCTCCATTAGCATCCGCCTGCTCTTTCCGTATCAGTAATGCCCTCCACCCGAGCATCTCGAAGATGTTTTACAAATAGCAGCAGCAGCAGAGTGCAGCGATTAGGCCTCCAGCCAGGGAGCAAAGAGACCCAAGTTTGCTTCCTGCATCTGTCACTGTCACCTCTCCTCGGTGTGCATCTCTGCTGCTTAGACAAGAAATTCTTGGGGGCAAGGGGCCACCTCTCGCGGTGCATCTCTGCAGCGCCGTGCACAGCGGGGTTGGGCTCTGCACATCTGTCTGCTCCAGCTCCAGCTGTGCCAGGCGAGGAGGCCGCGGCTCCTCCGTCCTGCCAGCTCAGCTGCTCGTCTGCTTCCCGCGCCCACCTCGGCTCTGATGAGCTGGAACAGGTTACGCGGTGGGTCTGTGCTTGTTTTCATGCTGACATAGGCGAGGGAACATCCCGTGAGCAGCTCAGCTGGCAGACGGGAGCAGGGAAAGGGAAAGAACTCCAGTGACAGACTGCTTCAGTTGCTGAAGGAAGAAAAAAATACCCCAAAGCCCTCATATACACACAGAGCAATGAGCTCAGAGAGAAAATGGCATCGATACATTCCCCAGGAACACATATCTCACTTCTGAGTGCGAACAGCTGACCAAAGACACCCCTTGGCTCTTGCCAGCCATCTGCTCTCCCCACTCGTGACACCCCACAAGCCAGGAGGAGCAGAGACCACCCCCGACATGCATCTAGCCCCAAACAGCCACCGATTCTCTGAGCAATTTTAAGGCAATCTCAATTCTCAGTGAAAATAATGCCTACAATCCCCCCAAACTCTGCTCCCGTCTGGGTTTCTCAAGCTGGGTCCGTACGTGGAGTTTTTGACCACAGCTGGAAGTGCCCATGGCCATCAGGTGGTGGCACATCTGGGGACACACCTCGTGGCTGTGGGTCTCAGGTTGCTCTGATCCTTGATTTTAAACCGAATGGGCACTTGAAGCAACGCCTGCTCAAGGCTCTTCATTCTCCTCCTGGTGACTAAAGGATTCAAGGTGAGGGCTCACGTGGATCCAGCAGAGAGTAATGTACGTCCTCCCACTCAGAAACCCCAGCACTTTGCACTGGTATTTTCAGATAGTTGCAGGATCTATTTATTAGTTTTGAAATATTAGGGTTGAAAGTGGAAAAAATAATCCCACATGGCAACAATTTTTCATTTCTAAGTGCTTTAGGTCCTATGGATGAGCTAAGGGGAAAGAGGTGGGAGTTAAAGGTCTGGGTCGGCAAGTGCCAAGTTTCCAAATCTTGGTGAACAGGTAAAAAAAAAAAAAAGAATTAAACCTGCATGTCATTAATTGTTAACAAAACAAAACCAAAAAGAGTTAGCCGTCTGTTCCCAGTGCCGTCTTCTCAGTTATCACAAGCAATGGACACGCAGACACCTTCCCCAAGATTTCTTCCCCTAGAAGTTTTAAAAGGAGTTACCTTGAATTCCCCCTATGAATCCAGCTGCCCCACCAGCCAGGAAAGCAGCATTTGCTCCTGCAGTAGCAGGAAGGGGGAACACAGCCTTTGCTGAGCCGGCAGCTTGCTCATTCTTTCACAAGAGCCACTGTGGCTGTGGGCTGCCTCGCCTCTATGAAATCGCTGCCTTTTGTCCAGCCTTCAATGCAAATAGGACGGGTGAGATAAGATCTGAGCACCCCAGTGCTTGTCCTTTTTGCTTAAAGCCAGCCCTGGGCTTCTCCTGGTGGCAAAACCCTCAAATGACCTCAGTGAAAAGCAAACAGAAGATTAAAAAAGGGAAAGACAAAGCATTAAAAGCTGCTCCCCTTCCAGGGTGTCTCAACAGTCAGCCACAGGGAGTGTTTCCATCAGGTTACAGACCGAGGAGACACATTTTTGCTTTGTTTTACGAGGGTGGGGGGCAGCGCTGCTATCATGATCAGGCTGTATTAGCATAGATACGATCAAAGCTTGATGAAACCTAGTTACAAAGAATAAGCAAATCCATTTCCTGGGGCTCAGGGACATACCAGCTTATGTGGCAGCGCTGGCTGACAATCTCGCGCAACAAACCTAACGTGTCTTGCTAAGATAACATCTGCCCCCGGAACAATAGGTTAGATTTCGTGAGGTGTTTGCACAAAGTAAGACAACAGTCCCCTTCCTGCAGCGCTTGCAATTGGCAGAGTCTATTCTGAACATATGTTGCCAGAGCACTGCTGTTTCCAGGATATTTTTTCATACAGCTGTGGATCTGCAGTAAAACAGCCACTGAAACCGTGTTTATCTCACTGTTTGGGAGCTAGGTACATGTTTTCCTTCAACAAGTGAAAACATTTTCCCTTCCTGTAAGCATAGCTGACTCAACGCTTAAGAAAGGCGACTGACTAAGCACCGGTCTCTTTTGTGAGGCTCATCCCACCTTGCTGCTGCATAGCAGCGAGGCAAAGCAAACCCTTGGGTTCAAGCCTTCTCCTTGGACAGGGAGCTGAACCTCAGACCTTGTGCCTTTGTGGAATCTGAACTGCAGGGAACTCCACAGCAGGACCCGACTGGAGGCATCCTGGTTCTAGTCACTGCTTCAGACTGGGATTTTAGCCCTATCCCATCTCGAAGACCAAGAGCTAAACTCATGCTTATTTCAACAGAAGCAGAGGTAGACAATCCCACCCCTCATGTTTTAAAATAAGAACTCTAAGGAAAAATCAGGAATTTGGAGAGAGGCTAACCATTTGTTAGACATTTGGATCTTCCTTGTAAAAACATTTTTGGTAGGAAGAGAAGGGAATCTAGAGAAACCATTGCAGGTTGAGGCTTTGTTTAACTACACAGGAGCAAGGCAAGACTTAGGAAGAACACCACTAGTCTGACACTGCCAACTCTTCTCCCCTCCATCAAAAAGTCCATAAAGGATCCGACTACCAAACCCCACACATCAAGTGTAGTTTCAAGCGGTGCAGGGGAAATGCAAACACAATATACAGTAACTTATGGAAAAGAAAGAGCAGGTAAGGTACCTTGCCTTTGCTGTACCTGATTTAACAAACAAAAACCCCACATAGAAATATAATGTATGAGGAAATGGTGCTATAAAGCTTCATTGTCCACTAAACTTATTATCAGAAGCAAAGATTAATTAGAAAGACAGACAAAAATGTAAATAAAGGGTATCTCGACTCCTTGATTCAATGTACTCAGAGGGACATATTTTAGACCTGCTTAAATGTACACCACATGAACCAGCTGAAAGTTAGATCTGTTTAAAAAAAACAACAAAGGGACTGTGTAAAATTAATATAGCATTGCACTCTCCTCTTCTCTTGTAGACTCAAACTGTTTTAGAACTTTCACTCAAGCTCATTAGTGCGCTTCCAGTCCTTTTTACAGATCATTACATGAACATTTGTTTTTACCTCGGGTTTAAGATATTCAAGCAATAACCGAGGTTGTACGCCCACGGAGAGCAGGAAGCGCTGTAGCGTTTGGGAATACTGCTTTACCATGTTCTCTGGAGCTGTGTGATGCTAAACCACTGCAAAACAGGTGACACATGAGCACAGTACATCGTCCTCAGCAGTTCGCATTTTACTGTGCCAACAGAATGACATTCCCAAGCCCGGCCAAAAGAAACTGTTAACCTTCCATTTTATGTATTTGACCTTAACGTTTCTCATCTGAGGACAAGATGGATTTTTTTGGAAAGGTATTTCCATGAATCATTAAAAAGCAATCTCTCTAAATATTAGAAAAGCTTAGTCAAAACTTTGTAATATGAACAGCAGGGACAAGCAGACGTAGTTCTGGTTTTGAAGGAACAGCAACATTCACCACAAACGGGAAGGCATCCACAAGGACAGTTGTTAACTGACAGTTTGTGGTTCTTCCAAGGAATCTCACAAAAAAGATTCAACGGCTTACGGACACATCACTCTTTGCAATGTGACATGCCACTCCTTTTTAATCAGGTGGGCTTCCACACAAGGTACTGAATATTATTCTATTTACATTCAAAAATAGCATTTTTCTCTCTTCGGTACATAGTGGGAATGCCCATAAATTAGTCAGTGGAAACCCCTAACACAGGTGGAGGACAGCTTTGTTGATCTCTGGGTTTGTCCAGTCATTCCGGATGTCATCCAGGTGATTATCAAAATCTACGAGTGTCTCGTACGACTTGCTGTCCAAGAGAGACGCAGCGATTCTCTGGGCTTCGGTCCAATCTTCACAAAAATCCCTAGGATGTAAAATAACCAAGAATTAAAAATAATCACAAAGAAAATCTCCCTCTACTCTGGAAACTAAGCCATGCTCTCTGCAGCGTGGTCACGGCAGTCATACCACTGCCTGGCTGCACAAGCCTTCTCTTCTCTCAGAACAGCAAAAAACAGCTTTAAAAGCGCTGTCAGCTACACCCACTGCCCTTACAGCATCACTCATCACAATTAAAGTTTTGCCCTTAACCAGGCAACCCGTTTCTCCTTATTACCCGAACACAGATCAGCTCTGAAGTTTACTCACACGTGCGGGTCCTTGCACCTCCACTTGTTCTCATGAAGCTCATACACGTGAATGGCAGGCTCTACGCACTCCATCGTAAACTTGGTGTTATCAACCTGGTGTGCAACAGAAAAACACCCCCTTAGCCTCCTCCGCGAGATCCCAAGAGATGAAATTAAAAAAATGAATAAGTCAGTTTTTACAAACAGGGCACCTAACACTAACTCGTCCACTGTTCTACCTTCAAATTTTACATGTCTAAACTGCCACCATCCTTTGTCACTGTGGCAAGGAGGCAAAGCACTGTTTGTTTCATAGAAGACAAGAGTTTAAGTCACAGGAGGGGGTCTGAAGTTGTGAACACACTGCCTTCACTCAGGCCTCGCAAGCAGGGAAGGCCTCCACTTCCTCCGAGACGGCAGAGAGCTAACCACAGTCTCTCTGCACATTTACCAAGAACTTCACTGGCTACAGGTCATTGCATCTCTTCCCCAGAGCATTTG